TGGTGCAATATATTTAATAATTGTTTTTGAGTTATGTGGTGGTGCTGTTGTATTTCGATTATATGCATTTGATCTGTATATAGAATCATCAAATTTTATACTTGTATCTATGTCCATTTTCAGTCAAATAAACGTATTTTTTTCTTACACACGCTTGAAATTCTGTCTTATCAATAGATTGATAATAAGATAACTTTTTCTTTTTTTGGTCACTGACTTTGCTTGTTCACAGATACAATAAATAACATTATTTTCGCTGGTTATGTTGATTTATCTTTCTTTTTTTTTGTGTTTCAAACATTGAAGATATTTTTAATAAAAAATGTAGTCTATTGATTTACATAATACTTAAATTAAGTGATATAATTCAAATTAAACATTATTGAATTAAGAAAATAATTGTTTCTATGTGAACATGAGTGTCTATTATCCTATGTCCTGTTATCTTGTAGAGTTGATTTAATTGATGTCAATAGATAGTGATAATTGTTTTAAAACATAGACATTCAATGGTACATTTTTGCTATCATGGCCTGTGAATCAAAAAGTCGGTACACACTAGAGGACTCAAGGTCGTTTTCTTTGTCTTATCTCTCACTATTTACAAAGGTGTCTTTTATTACCTTTCTTGAAAGCAATTTTTCTGTGGTTTCAAAACGGTGTCTAACTTCGATCATTTTCTTTTATAATTCATTGTTAATAACTAAGCTTATGTTATTCATACGGTACTTATATAATACAAAAGAAACTGATAATATTTCATAAAAAAAAAAAGATAGATCATTGGTACGAAAGGTATTCATGGAACAATACAGTTGATCAAATTCTGAAGACTGTGTACCATTTATAATAGTATTGTTTTTTTTTTAAAGAATAAAATCAATCATTCGGAATGTTTATCGCTCTCTATAGTTAAATCGTTGAAAAACAGAAAATTCAAATTCACTAATCAATATTATTAAGTTTGTCCGGTTATGTTGTGGTTTCATTAAATGTAAATGGAATCTGTTCATAATGAAACATTCTACGAGTATTGTTATTAATAATGTTTAGTGGAACCGAGTTTTTTTTCGCCCCGTTTCTTGTGAAAGTTAGGAACAAACGTTCCCGTGAACAGTTCAAGATCGAAAACGATCTTAAGAAATGAGCATTCTCAATACCATTTTGTTTGATGTAGTTTTTATTCATTACATTGTAATTCTGTTATGATAACTATTTGCTTTATGGTTATTACCTTCAAAAGGACTGTTATCTCAATTATCTCGCTACATGACATCATTACTATATTCTCCTCGTGAATGTCTTTAATTTTTTATTCATTCTGTTGATGTGCTAGTATTTTTTTTCTTTTCTTCATTGTTGAGTTGATGAAGGTAATAATTCCCATAAATTAATGTTGAGAATTTTTGACATAGAAATAATAATTGATTTATCTGGTTAAAATGTACTTTCGATGATAATTTTATTTTCATTTTAATGCCATCTCACACTACACGGAGTTCGATGCTGATAGGAGCTTGTGTCTGATACTTATTGTCTTTCTCAAACATGGAAAATGAAGCCATCATAGTAACTCTAAAAGGATTACGACAACAGAAATAGGCATGCGAGAACGGGAATTGAAAATTCATAAAAGTTGTACCCGCAGAACATTAATTATCAGCCTGTTGATTCACCCTCATGAACTTGGTTATCTATGAAGAAAAACCTTATAATAATAAAATGACTGAATTCATACGAGAGCATTTTTACGTTTCTCTACGTCTGATTTGAAAATTACCTTTGCATCAATTTGTGAAACAGAATACATTCGAAGGTACACAAGACTAACTTCATAGCACATGCTACAATGCATATCCTCAAAGATATGTTTCTCTCAGTTAAGTATATGCTCTTTCATGCCATAAACATGTTTTGAAGTTTTACAAGAAAAGTGCATAGACAAATCGCGGTTTTAAGTCATGAACAATCAGTTTTACTCAGTATGTTCCTATTTGAGACTAACTTGTCATATGTGATAAAGCTAAGCAAAAAACAAGAGAGTCCTATTATCGTTTGTTGCAGAACAGGGCAAAGCTATAATTTATGTTCCGCCCTATTGTCCACTAGCACGAAGTCAGGTAACAGAATCGGACAGAAAAAAGTTGCCTTGCACTCATCTTTGATATGTTCTATGTTTGGATACGGAACCACATGAACCATAGTCTATGATCGTGAAAACGAATTTTTTTGTAAAAGAATGTCTAAAGATTTCTTGTTGTACCAGCTGAATGATACTCGCTCGCCTAGGTATCATTTTAGTTGAGTACCAATTCTACAAATTACTTGTCGAATGGACCATTAGTCACTCTGAGTAACAGCCCAAGTTAGTACAAGTTCATCAAAGCACCAGTTCATCCAGGTATCAGTTCGACTGAAATTGATGCAGATTTAATGAATATTCTGAAAAGAGTTCATGTTGACAGTTTATTGCTGCTAAGATACTATAGTTTCACAGTATTTTTCAAATCAAATTTGTGTTTTTTCCTCAGACACACTGGAGAAACACTATTTTGAATTTTGACGTGAAATTTTGCACAGAGATAGTCCTTAAACAGAATAGGTTATTGTGAAAGCTTCAGATCGCTGCGTCGTTTCTATATCTACATACGGCTATGGTAACAGTATTTCATTTACATTGTTCATATACACTAGTTGATTCGATCTTCTTATTTCATGGTATAAGCAAATCAAAAGATCTAAAAATTTGACAACAAACTATTTCGTCTAAAGTATATCTCTGTGCAAAATATCAAGTTAAAATAAGAAAATCAGCTTTTTTCCAGTGTTTCAGAAGGGAATCACGAACGGTATTGATTGTGCTAACAACTACCATAAAATGCAGTATCTTGGCAACAGTTAGCTAGCAATACGAACTTTTTTCAAATTATTGATAATTTATTAGAGCCAACATGAGGTATACTGCCCAGACTCAAAAAATATTAATCATTCGGAAGATATTTCTCGTCAGCTCTTCGCACTTTTCTTTTATTGTCTTCTCTCTTTACGCATGGCCTATTATTCTCTATTTCTTAGTTATTATCTTTTCAATAAACTGTTAATTTTTCATTTATTACCAACGCATCTGATCGTCCACTCTCTCACAATGACACCAACGATTCCTTTCAGTTGCATCTCAAGAAGAGCGTATTTTCTAGCGTGTCAAGGAGATTATACCAAGAATATCCACACATAAGTTGAGAAAGAATTTCTCTAATAGTCGATAAGACATCATTTTATTATTAAACAAATTTAAAACTTCGCTGCCTATCCAACATCATTTGTAGTTTGAACTTACTCAAATATGAATCACTGCAACATTATCAGTAAAACTACTATGATAAACGGTAGATCAATCTGTTTGTTATTGAACAGCATTTTCCGTTGGTAAGGAACGGATAGTTCGGTTGAAAATACATAATCGTTTCAGTCAAGAAATATCGAAGACAAATAATGAATTGTGGCATAATCTTTTAGGTTTATAGAATGCAATAGTTTAGTCAAAAGTTTTATGCAGTGATCTTTGTTGTAGCACATTTTTCTCTTAGTTGACTTCAGCATGCATCAACAATAGAACTCACTGCTTTTTCAGTCTGAATCAGTAAGATGAATTCATGAAGCATTTTCTATTTTCTTAGACGATTTGCTATGAAGCTGATAGTTATATGACACAAGTAATTTAAATTTTTCTGCCATTCTACACTTGTGGACGATACAAAAATAGTCATGTCAGATTCAAAATCTTCAAGAAGGAAAATTGTCTGTGAATTAAAGTCCCTTGTGGATCAAAATATACTTAATACGACTATAATTTAGCGGAAATACTTAGAACGTTAAAATAAACATACACAACACGCATAAAACCAAAAATGAATCAAGCTGACAGCAACGTAGATTATGGCTAGTAGGTATTAAGCTGGTAGTATAAGTAGTGGCGTAACCAGAAAATGACCGGTGCCCGGGCGGTGCCCCAGTGTTTCAAAAATTTAATTCACAGTAGTCAAAATTTTCATCGAAGAGTGATTAGTCCTCACAATTTTTGTTCTCTTAAAAAGAGAATAGAATATGTCCAAGGCTGCGTAAATTAGGAAAAGTAAGAGTGATGATACAATCCAATTCGAGCAAATTTTACTGAATGAGCTTCAGAATCTTTCATTTTTCTCGCTCACGAACACGGTTGCCTATAAGCCTTCGAGCTGAGCGAGGACCGACGATCTGTATGATCAATTAGGGAATTTTTTGAAAAATGTACACAAATTTTTACGGAAACTACAGCATTTTTTTGTCAATTTTGCGAGGGAAAAGGACAAAATTGAAACAAATTTTCGAAAAAAATTGAAATTTTTTTACTAGGAGGGAGCCGATCTGATTTCGAGACCTGATGAGGAGAACACGAAAAGTTCTTCGAAACAACAGTAACATTCTAGAATTTCGCCTTGAAAAATCGAAAATTTTTCATCAATGAGTTAGGGAGACTGCTATTCCTACACTTCTTTCAGTTTGGGTGGCCCTGGACTCACCAATTTTACAAATCGGATTCACTTTCTTCTCTAGGAAACTTAGCTTTGTCACCAAAAAATTCTCGATTTTTCCGTTTTCGGTTCTCAAATTTAGCGAGAAAGTGGCCCATTCTCTCGAAAACACGTCCAAAAAAATTAGAAAATTGTCTGTCTTAAACTTCAAGGCAAATTCGCAGTTCTAAATGTATTTTCTTTTTTGTGGGGTGAAATTAAGCAGAAAAAAGAAAAACGGACCATGTAAACAGGGAACAAATACTGCCTACTCATCCACGTGTCTAGTTTTTATCATATTTGTAGGACTTACGAATGGTTTTCAGTGCTTTTGATTATGCGACAAAAGATGTTCCGATGCTAAGTATTAATTTTACTTTTGACCGGTGCCCGGGCAAAAACTATTGGTGACCGGGCGGCGCCCGGGCATGCCCACCCCTAGTTACGCCACTAAGTATAAGTTGAACCAGACATTGTAGTTGAGCTAGTGGTCTCAGTTGAACTAGCAATTGTAGTAGAATTAACAATAAAGCATTTGTTGTCTACAGTACATGTAGCATTGAAACCAAGATATTCGCCAAAAACTTTGACTTGTACATTTGATAAGAGATCACAATTAGGATAAACTCCAATGAAGTTCGTAGTGGACATGTTTTTATCAAGTATTAGGACTTGATCAGTGTTGGATGAATATTGAGGCCAAGCTAAACTAACATTATTATTAGGCTGACCTTTTGTAATCATGTTTGTTCAATATCGACGAAGAGCTGTAGCCAAATGTAGTTCATCGGGTTCGAAAATATCATCTCCGTAACGTGAAACAGCTAGTGTTTGAAACAAACTAAATAGTTCAGCTGTATGATATGCACCAGGCCATATGATTAGGTTTGGTATTGTCAACCAATAAAACTCTGGTGCATAAGTGTACGTGTACAAAAATGTCGGTTGTCCAGACATATATCCAGCCATACGACGAGCACTACAGAGAAAGATTTCCTGAGATAATAAGGTGACAAATGCTAGCGAATAATTGCCACTAAATTGACTTTAAGTATATAGTGCTTGAATTGCAGAATCATTATACGTTATAATTGGAAGAATGCGAGTCAAGTAATCTTCAGTACTGGTTGGTGGATGAAAATAATCTTCATATAAGGTGCACAAAAGAAATTCATCATGATTTGCTCCCGTTAATATGGATACCTGATTAATTGCTCCTGATAAGAAAGCTTTCAGTGGATGAACAGGTATTTCCATGTCATCAACGATTATGGTGAATGGGAAAGTACCACCAAATTTCTCTTGATCTTTAAATGCTAATGATGTCGACGATGGAATAGACACATTGGCTATAGTATCTACTAATAAAGAACTATTGACCGCTCGTAAACAAGCTAGTTGTTGAACTGCACTAGTCATATTACAGCCAACAAGCAATGCAAGATCTTTTGTTGTTGAATAAGCAAATGATTTGTCCCGCAAATAGGATAAAGTATCGCAGGATCCACTGTCTAAGATACCAGCATGAAATAAACCAGCAAATAGTGGCGATACTATATGAATACAAACTGAATGTGATCCTGCCGATTCACGCATAAGAGTAATCGAATTTTTATCACCTCCAAACTGTGCAATATTATCCTGAATCCATTTCATTGCCATACGTTGATCAGTAATACCTTGATTAGCTGTAGTCTGATTATGCTCATCTAACAAAGCTGGTTGAGCGAAAAATCCCATCACATTTAGTCGATAGTTCATGCTAACCATTATAAACGCGTTATTTTCTTGTATAGCGGCATTCGTCCAACTGAGTCCATCATAAATTACTTGTGTTGCACTTCCTTCAATAAATCCCCCACCATGAATCCATAACATTACAGGATAACCGGTTGACAAAGCTGGCGGTTTACGAGGGGCCCATACATTTAGATACAAACAGTCCTCATCAAATGGACCCGGAGTAAAGCCATTTCGATTAATTTGTAGACAAGATGGGCCATAATGAGTTGCATGTTGTATTGTATTGTTTTGACTATTGTTCATAACATATGGTTGAGCCTTTTGCCATCGAAATGCGCCCACAGGTGGAGTTGCATATGGAATGCCAACCCAAACATTTGTCTGTCGAATAGTAAGACCAGCAAATTTATCTGATGTCGTCGAGACAACAGGTGAATCTACGGATTCATTAGCAAACAAATACGGATTACCACTTAATCCAGAGGCTATTTTCAAAGGTACAACACATAATATCCAAAGGTGAAACATACTATACAGAGGTTTAATGGATATTTTTCTAAGTGAATTTGAGAGAAATAAATCACGACTACCGTGCAGAATAAAAGAAGAAATATAGTATAAGAACAGCGATAACGTGAATGTGATAATTATGACTAAACAGTGATAAGCATTTCAACCTAGTAGTATGAAGAAAAGAAAAAAGAAGTACTTCCTTGAGTAATTATGTGTGTATGAGACTAACAGAAAAAGACATCGGACTATGTGACTTCGATCGAAAAAAAAAATGTACGCATATGCACTGAGTATGATGCTTATTGAAGAGTATGACGTACAAAACAAGAAAATGTCAATTTCTACAAAGTTGTTGAGTCAAACCCAAAAGTGTCATATTTGTATTTAATGATAGCATATTCATTCAATCCAATGAAATGATTCCTAAATGATAGTAAATGTTTAAAATATATTGCTTTTTTTACTGATTCATGAGCAACCAATAATAGTCATTCTTTGATGGCATTAGGCATGCACCCAAACCGTTTGGGTCACTTCTGCCCAAATAAGGAAAAATGCCCTTATTTACTGAACCATGCTATACAACAGTTTTTCTTCAGTGAAAAACTTAAGTAGGAGGATGACACTATAGAATACCAAAAGAGAGATTTCGGCAACCTTCTTAGACTAAATACTAGAGTCAATCACAAAACCCAAACCCAAACTCATTGAGTTTGGGTTTGAGGGGTTGTTCAGTTCTCTTTGAATATCTCATTTAATGAAGCAGCTCATTTGATCATTTTCCATTTAGTTGTCAAAGGCAGACTTCCTTCAATATTCATGGCGACACAGTTTAGTGATACAGTTCATAGTCAGTGAGATAAGTTTGAAATACCCAAATTCTTCTATTGAGTTTGGGTGCATGCCTAGATGGCATACATACAAATCAATGAAGATTAATCGAGACGATTGTATAAAGAACACTGTAAAAAGTAGCGTGATGAATATTGTTTTCATACAAGTTTACAAAACTTATAACCGTCATATCGAAATATTTCTATATTGATTTACATATTATATAGCATGTCATAGGACACATGAAATCTCATAATTCGTCTCGATCAGTCTGAAGACAACAGGATACCATTTAATGTTCACACTCTAATCCAATAGAATTATGAACATATATCAAATCTATGGAAATACACTGTATATTGACATCATTGATAGCTAATCATGATTCGTATTGAACATCATAAGTGCGTTGCTATATGCCTTGTGTATTGGTACATTATAATCCTATTACCTTCGATTCATATGCTTCGTATAATAGTTTTCTTTTTAGTAATATGAGGCAACTAATTTCTTTTATTTGATATGAGAGTTTGATATTGTTGAAAAAAGAACATTGTTTCCTATCGTATATAACTATGAAAGTCAGACCTTTAATGCGTCTAGGCACACCGATAAAAAACATGGTGGCAACTGAAAAAAACTGTCGTTGCAGTTGCAATAAACTTACCTTTCAGACGCCACTATCCTTCCCTTCGCTGCAGTTTCGATACAACACAATTTTCATCGGTGTGTATAGATGTATAAACGATCTGCCGTTCGTGGTTCATTACAACCGTGGCTTTATCAGAAAAGTTGTTCAGTGGCATTGTACATAATTCTTTCATTATCTGATAAATAAATTCATAACTGAATAATATCTTTCACATATTTATTAATAACTACTATTAGAAAGCTTAAGCAGATGTTTTCATCTTTATCATCATCATTATTAGTAGTTACATTAGTTATTATATAAAGGAAAAGAGTCTTCTAAAGTTTTTCTAAAATGCTCAAATATGTGAAATAATAAGTTTTCATAGCATGACTCGTATGTGTTGATAGACATTAGCAAATTCCAATAATAATATAAATGCTACAGTAATATCTTAGACAGCTTTTTTAAAATTTTTTTCAATTTATTCTTTGTCCAAAAAATTAATTTATCAAATTGATGAATCATTCATTTTCTTGTGACATATTTTGAAAAAAGATTTTGTCTGCATTTTCTTTCATTAAAATAACAAAATCTGAAGACAGAAAACAACAAACCATTCGAGTGAACTCGAATAAAAGTGTTAACAAAAAAACAATTCTTTTTTTTAGTGAATAAAGTAAACACTTTTCTACAAAAATTCTGTTCTAGTACTACTAGAAAAACAACATAAGCAGAAATAATTTTGTTTTGTTGAAGATTAGCTAGGGGTATCGCCAAGGAAACGGCATTGTGGAAGTGAGCCAATACTGAGATATTGTTTTGCTAAAAGAAAAAAAAAAATAATAAATAAAGAAAAAAAAAGGGGCTAGTGCAATTCACGCGAGATTAAGATGTGAAATATGCTGTTTATAATCACAGAAAGATTGTTTTATTGTATCCATTTTGGGACACATTTCTTCACCATTCTTTGAATTAATCCTTCAGAAACGTAATAAAAAAGTAGTTCATATAACGGACGGCCCGAAAGTTTAGAGACAAGCTGTTTCTTCATTTATCAAAGGATTTGCAGAGTCAGCAGAAATTTTTGAATCTTGGATTAGAATCAGAACTTTGTGTTCTTCACGATTGTGAATTCATAACTTTTGTAGGACTCATAGGTAAGGAATTTTGAATAGTTTGAAAATTCATTTTGAATGGAAACTATTGCATGAGCAGATTCAGTGACGGAGAATATGATTCTATGATGTTGAAAATCCATTCTGTAGTGTTTTTCAACGATTTTCTTTCTACATCATCGTATTTCTGTCGTAAGAACACTAATTTCTCTCTGTTCCACTTCCTCTTGTTTGACTACATTATATTTTGAAAATTTCTTGGTTCAGCACTTAAATAGTAATTAGATATCCTTGTCAGTAATGATGGTATTTATTCAAGAAATTCTATGAACGGTTCTTTTGCAAACCATAAATGGCCACACTATATTGGTTCTTTCTCTTGGTATATTTAATAATTATTTTAGTTCTATCCTAGATGCCTTTTTGCATATTAAAATCACACTAGATTCTATTTTCAAAATTTTCAGAGAGACGCTTATAATTCTTAATCTATAAATTCCACAAAAATTTTGAACCTAAATTCACCAAAGACACAAAATTCTGATTCTATGTCAAGGTTTTCAAATCTGTGCTAGCTCTTTGAATCGTTCGAAAAATGACTCAAAGCTTTGTCCCGAAGTTTTCGAGCCTCTCCTTATAGTATAACGAGACAGTATTGATATTTGGACTGTGATTGTATATCTATAACATCTGTCATGTTCTCTGATGTTTCCATGGCTACTTTACGCTCTATGGGGAGGAGGAGATATATAAAATTTTACCTCTATACTTCAACACTCCTTTTAGATATTGTTTCACAAAATGTTCTTACATTTTGGAAGTTTTTTAGCTGCAAGATGTAGTCTTTCTACAAAATCGGGAATTCCTAAAAGAAAAAAAACGAGACATAATTTAAACAAAACAAAAATAACATAGTATTAAACATTACCACTTTGAGCTAAATATGAGTAAGTTGATGTAGGTATCGATGCTTTTGCATCCTCATGATATGTTAATAAAAATTTCATTCCTTTCTTTAAAAAAAAAGGAAATTAAATAAAATTTGTTTATTATTTTAAAACTAACTTCATCAAGTTTATGTTTTGATTGAATAATCATTGTTGATTCATATTTATTAACTCGTACACATTTTTTATCATTGTGAACATTAGGATGATTAATTGAATGACATTTAATAATAATTTTCGGTGAGGTCTCTATTGATATATCAAGACAATAACGTCTAACATAAAGATAATCACGATGATTTAATGGAAACGGAAATTTTTGTATCCAATGAACAATGTCACTTTGAGTATCGTCATCTGTATCAATTATAGATAAACGTAAAGCATGATCATCCCATTTCATTCGATAGTCAAGATCGAGCTTTGAAAGACAATAATTTCCTTTATAAAAAAAATTCATTTATTCTGAAAATTTATTTACTTGTACTTGAAGAAAAACTAATGCAGATATATCATTAAATGTACCGAAAACTTAAAGAAAAGCAAATTAAATAAAATACAGATGAATAAAATCTATCTACTTTTATATGAATAAACTTGTAAATCATGATCATATTTACGATAAAGTAATAAATGCTCTTTTCGAAGAATTTTTTCCCATCCAAGTGTAATTAAAACTTCATCAACTTGACTATGCGTCATATTAAGTAAATATTCATCACAACTTGCTTGTTGTCTAAATTAATCAATTCCTATTAGATTAAACATTAATGACATTAAAAATTAGAAGTATCACTTTTATTTTGAGAACTCTCCAAGCATTAAACTATAAGAATCCAAAATCATATTTTAAAATTTTTAATTCTATCATCGTCTTATAAGATTCAACAAAACACAAAAACCTGATTCTTCATATTGTCCAATAAATCTTGATATGGAAATAATCATGAAAGTTTTGAACGGGATTAAGATAAATTCCAATGAATATTTATTTCGTATTTAGATAAATACAAATGCATAACACTCGCATAAAAAACTAAGCAAAGAAGTATACAAACTTCAGTATGTTGCAACTATGTTAGAAAATGCAATATGAAATGCGTTCTAGTTCATTGTGAACGGAACATTCAAGAACAGAAACGCTGAGACCTCTAATAGAACTTTTTCAAGATAGAGTAAGATTTAGAAAACTTTTCTCAGTCAGTTTCAAATGATTCTATATATTTCAGAAACTATCACAATCGAACAAACTCGACAATAAAAATTAATACGTCTTTTAAACTTTTCATTCTGTTGATGAAAATTAGAAAAATATGAATCGAAAATGAATATGTTTTTAAGCTTACAATTCTTCATCAGTGACTCCATCATTTTTCCACGAGAACACAACAGCTGCACTTGTTAAAGCACCAATAATTGATGAAGCAAATAAAGTTGATTGTGTATGATATTTATTTCTATAATATTTTCTTTCATTGTCGTTCC